TAGTTTAAGGGAGGGGGAGGGAAGGGTATACAAGGAACCTAGGGGATAAAGGGAAAGGAGCTCAAGAGAGGTAGGACCGTAGGAGAAGGGTATAAGTAAGGGAGAAAGGGGGGAAATGGGAGCACCATAAGTGGGAAAACCATGATGGAGGGGTGAGACAATGCAAGAGATAAACAATGCCTAGCTAGTTTTGAAAACCAGAGGGAACCATAGTACTCCTACAACCTACTGACAAATTATACATAGCAGATCAAGAAATATATGTCTAGGTAAGGTTTATCTGAGAACAATTGGTCTTTGACCAAGATTTAGATAAATGACACACAGTAACTAAAAGTACCAGACTGGTGGAACTAACCTTCTTGGGTATTTAACAGACATATTTTGAGGCTTATAATTATTTGGTCAGAGGGACATAAAGGATAGTTTTTGCTCCTTGCCCTCCTAGGTTGACTAGTTCCAGGGGACTATAAGCATCTCTCAAAATGTCCTATAATGGTGGTGGGTCACCTGTCCTCTTGATCAAGGAGGCCAAGGAGACCCCACCAGATGCACTTGAACCAGTGTCTAGTCTACAAAGAGGAGGGTCAACAAAGAGAAATCATTTCCTCCTTCCAAGTGAAGCCAACCATGGTTGAGCAGGACCTTTGACTTACCTTCACACAGGCAGAACTGGTAAAAGAAAGGAGCCAGGGGCTCCTCCCAAGCCCTTGTGACCCCTGAGGAACAGATCCTCAAATGACCTTAATTGTAAAAATAAATTGGTTTATCTGGACCAACCACATGGCCTTAAACACCCAAAAGGAAAGTATAACCAAAGATTAAAGGGGCCAATATAATTTCTTAAGAGTCCATATGCATAGCTAAAGGCTACATAACAAGCAACAATGCAAGGTGATACCTTCTTTGGAGTTGCTGGCCAGGGTGGCCAAAGGGACTCCCAGATAGTAACCCAGCATAGAACTGGGAAAATGAACAGCAGACCCCAATCTTATCTAAAGGAATATTGGCAACTGATTACTGCTAGATGAGGAACAGCTGACCCTCCTAAAACAAAGACGTCTAGATAGGCTGACTAAATTCACCAGAAGGACAAGTAGTGGGGAATGGCTGGGGGTTGCCAACAACACAGTAGACAGTAGCAAGGATTTCAGAGTATAAGGGCTTTAGTGGGGGGAGGGAGGCTATGGGAGGGTGTTATCTGGGAAGTGGGTATATAGGGTATATAGAAATAAGATTGTGTGGGATGTTCTGTGTGATATACACAGAAAAATCAACAAATTTTTTAATAAATGTATTATATTTGAGGACAAAGCATGGAGATTTACATCATGCTAATTAGTAGAGGTGATAAACAATACCATTGAAATCTACCCAATGACTTTATAGGCATACACGGGTGCCAAGCATCCAAGGGCAACCGATTATGACTAGTAATAATTAGATACATACAGATTAGAGATGCAAGCGCCAACATCTCAGTGTTAGGAGCAAAAAAATGAGTCTGTCTGCACGGAACAATATATTCTAAAATGAAATGGAGATCTTTTTTAAAGGTTAAAAACTCATCCAATTTTATGTCTTACAGGGCTTACACTGATTTCAACAATATATAACTATATTAATTCAACTGTGAAGCTAGAAACTTGTATCCACTTGTGAAAGACATGTACTGTTGCTCTGGAGTGTGTTACTGAATATGTTAAAGCTGTAGTGAAAAGCTTCTAATCATGTAGTTATTAAGAATTTAAAAAAGTATAATGATTAAAAAAATAATTCTTCAATGCATAAAAATCTCCTCCTTCATAATTAGTAGATGTGAAAAACATTATCATTGAAATTTACTTGAAGACTTTATATCCATGCTCAGATGCCAAAGAGCTCAGAAAGTAACCAACTGTGACTAGCAATAATCTGATATATAGAGATTAGAATAGCATGTACAAACATCTTAATGTCAATTCCATTAAAAATGAAGTTTTCTACATGAAACCCTGTAATAATGAAATGGAGATCTTTTTTAAAGGTTAAAGCCTCATTTAATTTTCTTAGGGTTTATACTGAGTACAATATTGTATAACTGTAATAATTCAACTGTAAACCTAAAAATGTACAGTCAATTTTGTAAGAGATGCAGCCTAGCTCAGAAAATTGTTATTGAATATGTCAATGCTGATATAATGAAATGCTTCTTCTAAGTATGTGATTATATAAATAATTAAAAAAATATTTATACTAAAGCAAGGCAAACAGAAATTGGTTTAATTTTAAATTTCTTCAAGATAAGAGATAACAAGACCATCAAGTGCAATTTAAATCTTGTAAAAAAAATCAAAATAAGATTTTATAAAGTAACAGTTCAGTTAAAATATAGCTTTCAATAAAAATTAGTTGATAGTGTTCTAAGGCAAAAGAAATTGCTCAGAGGGTGCTAAAATTCACATATTTCCTGATTTTTCTGTTTTATATAGAAATTTTTCTATATGTAAAATTATTGACTGAATCCTTAAGAGTTGCATATCTCATTGTATCAAGTTTTCTTCAACAAAGAGAAAGGTGATGATGGATGAAAGGAAGACAGGAACTAACTCACCTGAAACCTGATCATCTGTTAAGCCAAATGCTGACATGACATTTTTATTGATTTCATCTTGGTTTTTCAGAGGGTCAAAAGCTGACATACTTGCTGCCATGACCTGAGTAGACTGTTTTCCAGAAGAATCAGAAGCAGCAGGCTTTTCTTCCCTACCATCCACATTATCTACACAAATAAAAAAATAAACCAAAACTTATTTTATCTATATGCGATAATATAAAAGATGCAAAGGCAGGTGACTATATGTGCATAACATTGTCTGGAATGTTAAGAATAAGAATTTGTAAACACAAGACTGTAGATTATTTTTTTTCTTTTTATGTATTTATAGTTATTTTAAAAATCAGAAAGAAATAAAAAGAAATGAGAGATAACAGTTTTTCAAAAGGAATTACTGTCTTTCTCCCTATTTAGGAGTACTGATGAAGCAGGGTGTAGGGGGGAGCAAGCCAATCTGGCATTCAGGAGGCTATCACAGATCAAGAGTTCCAGGCTAGCTTGAGCTACATGTTAGACTCTGTGTCAAATAAAGAGAAAAACACAAGAACAAAACATCAAAGTAAAAAATTAAATGAAAGCTCCAAAACAACATTTTATTTTTTTCCATTTTTGGAACCCAAAGACCTACACACTGTGTGTGTGTGTACACTTGTGTCAGACAGTATCTTTGGTGTGTGTGTGTGTGAGTACACTTGTGTCAGACAATATCTTTGGTGCCATTACTTAAGAACTGTCCAAGCTGTTTTTGAGACAGGGTCTCTAAACAGCATGGAATTCACCAAGTAGGCTACTTTGTGCTGACCAGCAATCCCCAGGGATCCACCTGTTTCTACTTCTATTGTGCTGTGATAACAAGTGCTATTATACCACACTTTTTTGTGTGTGTGATCTTTTTGAGACAGCGTCTCCCTGTAGCCATCCAGCTGGCCTGGAACTCACTATGTAGACCAGGCAGGCAATGAACTCCCAGAGATCTGCCTGCCTCTGCCTCCCAAGTGCTGGGACTAAAGGTGTGCACCACCATTCCTGGCTCTACCACAGATTTTTTTACTTGGGTTTTGTGGATTGAGTACAGGCCCCAAAGCAAGCTCTTTACCAACTGAGCTCTCTCTAGCCCTAGCACCATGATCTATAGACACATACTGGGCACTCAGGAAATAAGTTATAGTGACAAATATTTTATTGTAAAAGAACAGAAACCTTATCTAAAATTAGGATCTCAACATTTATGTTGTATTTCTATTGTCTGTTGCTCCACTATTAACAGAAATCAAGCTAGTCAAGTTTTGGACTTAAACAGCACAATTCTGCTACTTATCTTAAATATGTATTACTTATTAAAGTACTTGTATATAAGAAAATGTTTTTGGAATCTTTTTCAAAATAATGTAGAAGGTGTAGATGCATAGATGACATGCTACTGACTTGAGAGGACAATTCTGGAAAGTAAATGTGGATTCATGGAATTCATGACAGTATTATGTCTACTTTGATATACCTGCCCCCCACACACATACACATTCTCTCTATATGTAATTTAAAATATCCATCCATCCATCCATCCATCCAATTTAAAATATTTTTCCATAATTCAATAAACAGAAAACTATAAAATTTTAATGTTATGGACAGGTTAAATTAAAACCACGCTTTTCTTCTGAGGATAACAGGGTATTCACCAGGAACTTGCACTATTTATTACCTTGTGAAAGAAAATAGCTCAATAACCTATATTTCATGAATACAAACCTAGGCCTAAGAAACAAAAATGATACCAAAAAGAAACAGAAAGAATAATTCTATTTACTCAACAGAAAATGATTATCAATTTTGTGTTATTAAGCAAGTAACCTGGTAATTTTATTTTATAAAAGGATAAAAGGCTTACCTAAAGTTAGGATCTAGTAAACTGCAGGGAAATCGGTATCTCTACCAACTACCTATTGTCCTCACCTATTTCCATGCTCTTCCTGCAAATTAATCCCCTACATGATACTACTACATCCTACCTAGGCCCCCAATACGAACTAAATACATCACATGGCTTATAGCTCTAGTCCTCAAAGAAGAATGTGCACCACCGTATGCAGTTACTGCTGCACAGTATTGGCTGTACTGATTGAATTCTTATCTCTGCTTCAGAATATCTGATATGGTTAATCCCTGTGAAATTATATGCAAATGCTATCTATATTAACATGTACTAATTTGTCTGTGAGAGTGGTCTAAAAGTTCTCACAGGGCTGGAGAGATGGCTTAGTGGTTAAGAACACTTAACTGCTCTTGCAGAGGGCCCAGGTTCAGTTCCCAGCACCCACATAACAGCTAACAACTGTCTGTAACTCCAGTTCCAGGGGATCCAATGCCCTCTTCTGACCTCCTCAGGCAATGCATGACATGACTGTACTTACATACATGCAGGCAATACACTTATATCCATAAAATAAAAAATATATTTTAAAAAAGTTTTCATTAGTACTTGGTTTAAACTGGAACTTGTTTAGAAAAGTTAAAAGTTTAGGACTAGAGAGATAATAGTTCAGTAAATAAAGTACTTGCTTTGTAATCATTAAGTCCTGAGTTTGGACCAGAACTACATAAAAAGATGGGTGTAGTGGTGCATGTCTATAATCTCAGTAATGGCAAGGTGAGAGGGGGAAACAGACTTGCTGGCCCATTAGCCTAACTTACTTGAAAAAGTTCCAGGCTAATAAGAGACACTATCTCAAAACAATAGGGGTAAGGCATCTGAGGCACAATACCCAAGGCTATCTTCTGACCTCTAAAGGCAGAAGCGCGCGTGTGTGCACACGCGCACACACACACACACACACACACACACACAACATGAATTTGTACTCACCCACACATGAGTATGTACACACACACACACACACACACACACACACACACAAACAAACAAAAAAGGACAAAGTTCAGAATGAGCAACTGGCTTAGACCTCAAATATAAGAGACTTCATCATAAAAGTGGCCAAAAAGACCTCATTAGAGTATTTATGTTCTGAATGAGGTAAAACTAGGTATTAGTATTAATTAAGCATTTACCAAAACACAATTCCATATGACTAAAAGAAGACAAGAAGAGGAAACTAATGGAAAGAGCTTTATTTCAAACATAAAATCAAAGAAAAAAAAATCAAGGGGCTGGGTTTCTAGTTCAACAGTACACAGAGGACCCTGGGTCTGATCCTCAAAGGAAGACAAGAGAGGAGAGAAAAACACAAACAAGGAAGGAATGAAGAAAGGGAAAAACAGGAAGAAACGAGAGAAAAGCAAAATTTCAAAATTATTAGGGGCAAAAAAACTAAACACTTACCAAGTCTCAAGGATTGAAAAGATCACACATGCCACTGCTCTGAAAATTACTTTTCCTCCCACTGTAGTTTAAATATTTAAAATCATAGACAATTTTAAACATTTGATAATTCTAAGTAAAAGTCTATGAAAATAAGTTTTTTTTAAAGGTGAAATAGCTAAGAGTATTTTTTTAAAAATTAAGTTTTTAAAAAATCTACTTTCAAGCTGTGGAACATGCTTTTCATTTCAGTTGCTGTTTAAAACACATTTTTGTGTCTAAGCTACCCCAACTCCAGGTCTGACAATTTTTTTAAATTGAGCTTTTCTGCTTTCATGGCTCAGGGACCATTGCAGAAGAGGGGGCCAAAAGAGTGTAAAAGCCAGAGCTGGTTGATGAACACAGGGAAGCAGAGGCTTCCAGGTCACTGGAAGCTTGCACATGTGGCAATGGTGGCATCAAGCACAGGACCCATGCCAACTCAATTACCTGTAGTTTTTGTAAATAGTGTATGTCATCTTTAAAAGGCCAAAACTGTTTTACTTTGCATATACATTATAGAATTTTTGCTTAAAATAAATTTTAATGTACCATTTTAAAGTACTAATCTAAAATTATTTTGCACCTGAAACTTAGTATTCTACAGTTCCTAGATTCATTATCTATTACACTAAAAACTAGTTCACGAGCCAAAAGGATTTGAAAACTGACCTATATCATAAACTCAGGAGTCTGTAATAAATTGTAAAGAAACAACCACAGCACATCAGTTACTGATGTGTTCAATATGCAGTCATTTCTGTAGTACTAGGAGTGAATCTAGGGCACTGCACATGGTAGGCCAGTGCTCTACCATCTCACCAAGCCCTGTTCCCAGCCCAAGTACTTTAAAAATGGGGTTCCATGACCAATCTGCTAGTAGGTTCATTATGCAATACAAAAAGCAGTATAATGCAACTTCCCAGTAATCCTGACCAATAGCTTTGGGAACACAAGCACAGACATTAGTACAGAGGCAGAGGCAAGAATAAGAAAAGGTAACGTTAAGGATGTCATCCTATTCCTACCAAACAATCTGTATGAAAACAAAACAAAAGTTCTGCAAAATGATATAAGGACAAGAGAATCAAATAAAATGAACTTACCATTTTCAGGAATACTGGTGGAAGGTCCTGGTTCTCCAGGTGGTTCCAAGCTGTCCAATAAGCGATTCACTTTATTTCGAAGTTCTATCAGTTCTCGACGAAGATATTTCACCTGACTTGATTCAAGGGGTCTTGGCTGGCCATTAACTGAAATAGAAGCATCAATCTGTTTAAACTGAGAAGATGAAACTTGAGTAAATGTGTCATTACAAATAATACGCACTAAGAAAAAATAAGTAGCAGAAGTAAATTTTATTTTTAACATTTACTTGTGTGTGTATGTGCATGAAATGAGTGTTCACATGGAGGCCAGAAGTTGATGCTAAGTGTCTTCCTCTATTGCTCACGGCCTTATTTTTTGAAATGGAATTCTCAAAAATAAAAAAATAAGTAAATAAATAAATAAGGCAGAAAGAGGGAGGAAGGGAGGGAGAACAAAACAACCAAACTTTATTATTTGGAGACAGGGTTTCACTGAACTGGAGCTCACCAATTGTCTAGACTAGCCTGCCAGTGAGCCCCTGGGATCTGAATGTCACAGCCTGCCCTGTGTAAAAGTTAAATATATGCATCACCATGCCTAGCTTTTAACAATTTTTAAGTGTTAAGATATAAAAATATTAATAAAAGTATTTAAATAAATATAATACTTTTAAAAAGTAACCAAATCAAACAAGATATATAATTGATGTCATTTTATTCTTTTTAAGGAAAGGGCAATTTATAGCTAACAGAAACACTTTCATCAGTCTCTCTTGATACTAGACCATGCTGGCAAAAAGGTTTACTACAAGAACTACAATAAAGTAAATTAATACTTTTAGAAAGCTATACTTAATTAACCTGAAATGACTTTTTAGACATTGATTTTTTTTACATATTTTATTTATTATTTTTATTTTATGTGTATGCGTGTATTGCCTGAATGTAGGTAAGTATACCTGTGTTGTGAAATGCCCGCGGAGGACAGAAGAGACTGTTAGATCCCCTGGAACTGGAGTTACGGACAGATGTTAGCTGCCGTGTGGGTGCTGGGATTCGAACCCTGGTCTTTGGCAAGATGGCTCGGATGTTGTTGTTTTTTGACAGGGTCTCCCCAGTTAGAGCCCACCTGGAAGTCACATGTGAACCACTGTGGCCTCAGTCTCACAGAAATCCACATGCCTCTGCCTCCCAAGGGCTGGAATTAAAAGTGCACACTACCATGCCTGGCAACTATTTTTAATAGAAATTACATAACTTCCAAGCTATATTTTATACCATGTAATGTTCTTGAAATTAAAAAACAAAAAACAACAAAAAAAAACCCCTTATTGCATACACAAATGTCAAGACAAAAAAACATGGCTGACAGGTCTACTATCCTTCTTGCCTACTTCTGGTTTAAGAAAAAACCAGCTGACCTGAAAAGAGTAATTCATTTAAAAAGTACAGAATTTGTGAGTCATTATCAACACTGTCCTTCAAATCCACTGCTGCTAGAGGCAGTTTACAGCCACCAAAGTATAAAAGACCAAAGTATAAAAGATTAATCAATAATCACCAGGGCTTTTTTTTTTTTTTAAAGGAAGGCAAGGTTATCAAATTATCTGTTCTGTACAAATGACTTTCAGTCAAATCCACCACTGAGTTTATTATTAGAATGGGAAAACAACAACAGTGGCACAAGGCTATGAATGCCAACCCCGAGACAGGACTTCAAAAATTAACCTAAGCTAAAATGCTATATGCACTATTAGGATACATGTGTACAAACTCCTGATGCACCTAATTAAGAAAGAACACCTATGTGGAAATAATGGTTCAGGGAGATTTCTGGTTAAATATGTTTCAAACATCAAGCCACCAATACATGCTTTTAGAAGATAATCCACTATTAGTTCACATTTCCCAGTTTATTAGGAAGTCCAATACAATCTTCTGTATGTATTATTAACTAATTACTGCCTTTTACTAGGTATTACTGATTTTCTCCAAAGCCTAAAAAGAAAAGCACCTAGACAGAAAGGCCTCAGTGTCACTAGAAACTAGGCTGGTACTCACTCACCAGTGGCTGTGATGGCTTGTCAAACACAAATATTTTCAAAGAATATCAGCACCAGAGAATCTCACTCTGTACCCATGGTAGATGAAGACATAAGACCAGACCATGTCAAAACAAAACCCAAATACAAAAACAATGGCCAAACTAACAAAATATCCCTTTATCTTGGCTAATATAACTACTACTGCTTTAAGCACCTGTACAACGACAGCCTCAATCCATTCCTGTTACCTTCTACATAAGCCTGCAGTAAGGCAATTAAAGAATCAGTCCTACTTTCTAACAGCATTTAATCCATATCAAAGCCCTACTTCCTTGAACCACATCAAAAAAAATTCACCTAACCCAAGCCCCAGCCCTTCATATTCTAATACACTCGTTTTCCCTGATGTTAATCTTCATTTTTGCAATAAGTCAATAAATGTAACTTTGTTCAAGTACAGTATGTTCTTAGTGATTATTTTTTTCCTGGAGCACACTGATATATCTGAACTTTCAAGTTCCATGTACTCATATTCTTAGCACTGTCTATAATCTGTCATCGCTAAACTCTCTCTTAAGAGAGTGACCATGCTTTGAATTATAACCAATAAAAGTTTAAATTCCCTATTATAAAATTACATATTTTCACTAGTAAAACTTTAAGACTTCAATGAAATATGAAAATTATGCAAAAAGGATATAGTAAACACCTAGTTAAGTCGTAACATTTTCCTGTCTTTCTGATCATTAATAATAGATATTAAGTCTCTAATGTTATTCTTCTTGAAATCTAATCTCCTACTTCATAGTTTTAAATAGTATTTTGCATTTCTCCTGTAACAGTTCTGCCATGTTAGATTTACCTTTGTACTATATATAACTGTAGTAGGGATTTTAGTTATATATATGTGCGTGTATGAGGTACTTTGGCTGTTATTTACCACCCCTTTCCCTTTCCTTCTTCTAACTGTTCCTCTTCTACTTCTATATTTCTTTTCTTTATGATTCCACATAAGAGAAAACATGAAATACTTGTCTTTATTAATAATGGCTTATCTCACTTAACATGACTTATGCATCTAATTCATCCATGTTTCGGCAAACTTGTAATTCTTTCATTTGAGGGAATACAGAAGTGGCATTTGCTGCCAAGGCTGATGATCTGAGTTAAACCCTGGGGACACAGGTGGTAGAGAGAACCAATTTTTCTAAATTGTCCTCTGACCTCCACGTGAACACCATAGCATGTGTACCCCCCCAAATAAATAAGTTTAATAAAAATAATCATTCTTACATTTTACAAATATAACTTTCATTTAAAACCTCTAGTTAATAACAACCCTCTTCTGAAAGGAGACCTTAAATTTATTACTATCTTTTCCCTACTATTTTACATACAATTATTGTTTACCTTTTTTCTCCCACTTATTTTCATATTCCTAAAACTTACTATTTTTGAAGCTCAATGCTCATTTAAAATTACAGACTTCCTGTATGTTTCATCATCTTCTTGCTGAAGACCAGCATTATAAATTCTTCTGACAAGGATATATGAGTTCAGGTAAACTGAAAATGTTTTCAGGACATTCTTGCTCGTTACTGAAGTTTAGTAGACTAAGATGCTACTTCTCCAGTTCTGCTTCTTAATTCCTTGAAACATCATGTGATCTGTGTCCACTAGTTTTTATTACTATGAGAAAAAGTGCACAGTCTAGCTGCTTCACAGGTGATCTTATCCTTGTACGAGGACAAACTACGTACTTTTCAATTTTATGGTATGTCTAGTTGGGATTTGTTTTTATATTTGTTCCTCAAGAGACTCACCATGTCTCCTCTCAATCTTCATGTACTTTATGTAATTTTGAAAACTTCTTTACCTCTTATTTATACTCTCCATTCTAACCTTAAAATTCTTAATAAATGCTTGTTTCATTCTCATTTTCTCTTTCATATTCTCCAGTTCTGTGGAGTTACTTTTTCTGTGCTTGACTCTTTCAATAATATTTTTCATTTATCAAGTTATCTCAAGCTCTTTTTAAAATTTCTGTGTTTCACATGAGTATTATATTTGCATTCTTTCTACCAGTCCCCCTCCAACTCTTCCCATGTCCCCCCTCACAATTTTTTCCTCTTAATTATTGTTACATAAACATACATATATTTATAAAACATACATAATGCATAGTCCATTCAGTGGTGCTCTACCTGTGCTTATGGCTATCCACTTGGGATCAGATAGCCTCTCAGTGAGCTAGTCCCTGGAGAGAACTGATTTTCCCTCCCTTGTCAGCCACTGATTACCTATAGTTCTTTACCTTGAGGTGGGACCCTGTGAAATTTTTCCCACTCACCGCAACCTCTTTTTAAAACCTAACTGTTCCTTTTTAAACTGCCTTGCTCTTATAGTCATACATTTTGCAGAACATCATTTCTATTAACTGAAATTCTCATAGCAGTTATGTCCACTGCTTCTTGGTTACTTGGGCTACTTCATGTGTCTTACAGTTCTGATCACTAGTAGTGCTCTGTAAGAAACCACTATGACTTGGATTAAGATCCAAAGAGTTTTGCCTTTGCTTCTACTATTTACTTTTTAAGATAATATAGAAGGCTTGTGTCCTAGTTTGTTCTTCATTGCTGTGACAAAATACTCTGACCACTACCAACTTGGGGAGGAAAGGGTTTATTTAGCTTATACATCCTGGGTCACAGTTCATCCGGGAGCCCAAGGTAGGAACTCAGGGCAGGAACCTGGAGGCAGGAGCTGCAGCACAGGCCATGGAGGAATGCTGCTTACTGGCTTGCTCCCCTGGCCCCTGCTCAGCCTGCTTTCTTATGCAACACAGGCCCACCTGCCCAGGGGTGGCACCACCCCCAGCAGGCTGGGCCCTCTCACATCACTCATCACAAAGTTGCCCCTCAGACATAGCCACAGGCCAGTCCAATAGAGGAAATTCCCCAACTGAGGCTGCCTCAACCCAGGTGTGTCAAGTTGACACTAAAGCTATCCAGCACAGCTTGAAAGATAAGATTACAGATACTTTTATGTTTAAACCAAGTCCCATCTAATGACCACGGTACTGAATCTTCAATGTTCCCTTCCCAAACTCCCGAGAGTCCAGCGTATCCTTGATCTCTCCTGTATTAAGAGAAGAGATATATTGTTTTCTATAATACTCTTTTTGAGGGACTGGAGAAATGGCTCAGTGGTTAAGAGCACTGGTCCACTTGCAGAAGACCCGGGTTCAATTCCTAGCACCCACAAGGCAGCTAACAACCGTTTGTAACTCCAGTTCAAAGGGATCCAACACCAGGCATTGCATGCATGGCACAGGCGCACTTATTTACATGCAAGCGATACACTCATACACATAGAATAATATATATATATTTTATTATACCCTACTGACCCTGGACCTACACTACGGATATACCAAATGATAAGTTCCTAGATTATGTAAAATAAAAACTTTACCATGTCCACTATGAATACTCCAAATGTAAGCATTTGGAATTAAAACCATATTTTAAAAGTTCCACCTAAAGATTTATTTTTAAAGATTTTCAATTATCTATATGTGTGTATCTATATGTGGATATGAGAATACGAGCGCAGGTGCCCATGGAGGCCAGAGGTGTCAGATTCCTCTGGAGCTGAAGTTATAGGCAGTTGTGAACTGGCCAATGTTGGTGCTGAAAACCAAATTCAGGTCCTCTGCAACAGTATACATTTTTATCTGCCAGGCCATCTCCCCAGCCCCTTAAAATTCATTTTTATTTATGTGTATGTGTATCTGTCTGTATGAGGACATGCCATGTCTGTGTGGGTGCCCGTGGAGATCAGAAGGTGGCTGTGGATCCCCTGCTGCTGGACTTACAGGCCTAATGGGGTGACAGAGACATGGCTCTTGATCACTGAGCCACCTCTTCAGCAATCCCTATTTCTTTCAGTCCTATACCTCTTAGGCAATGTGAACTGCTTTAAAAAAAAAAAATTATATATATATATATGCCTTAGCGTTATTTTCTGTGTTTCCTGTGGAGGCAGGACTCAGGTTATTTAATCTTTGTTATATATCTGATCAACAGGGATACTATCAAAAGATAATGTGGTAGTTTGAACATGAATGCCCCCCATAGGCTTATCCAATTGCCAGTTTCTTGCTTGGCTTCCAGGGCCTGCTTAAAGATGTGAGTGCTCAGTTTTCTGCTCTGACTACCTCTTGCTGCCATGTCTCCCCACTATGATGGACTCTTATCCCTCTGGAAGTATAATCCAAATAAACTCTTCCTTCTTATAAGTTGCCTTGGTCATGTTGTTTCATCACAGCAACAGAAAAGTAACTAATACAGATACCATTTACTAAAACTTTTGAATAGCTAATTGTTAACATTAAAAATACAGACATATTCACCTCTACTAGATGGAGGCAAAATATATAAAATTAAGTCAATAGAACATGAGCACTAAGATTCATTAAAAAAAAATCTTAAACCAATCAAAAGAAAATATACTTTAATTTGTATTTTTCACATAATCATAAGCATTTTACTACCTTAAATAGTTTTGATGATTAAACACATTAAAAGTTTAGAGCAGAGCTATTAGAATGCTAAGAAATTAGGGCCTTTAAGAAATTCCTTGTTGAGCTGGGTGTGGTGGTACACATCTTTAATCCAAGCACTCTGGACGCAGAGAGAGGCAGATCTCTGTGAGTTCAAGGCCACATAGTAAGTTCTAGGCCAGCTGGGACTACAGAGAGATGTCCTGTTATCTCTGTCATCATTTCTATCCTATCCAATAAGGATTCTGCTTTGCAAATCTATTAGTCCTAAAACAAAACCAAATCTAAAAGATTAAATTTATCTTACATCTATTTCATCAGTAATATATCTAGTCTGTTTGTTTATTTATTTATTTATTGCAATGTTGGAGCTGGAACCCCAGTCCTTGTATACTGGAAGCAAGTACACTGTCACTTAGCTATATCTTCCAGTTCTGTACTTAGACTTTATTGCTTGAAAAATAACTAATGTATTAGGCTTATGCTAAATCCTGAGAATAAGCAAAAGAAATTATAGGGAAGATAATTACAAGTTCTTAGAGAACTCAGAGGTAGTTTTAACTCTGTAATTACTTCTAAATCTGACATAAGACATTCCTATTTATGGTAAGAAAGCAGATACAGGATTCAATACAAGCCAACTTTAATTAATGCTCCCCAAACATAAATATTCCAAATGCTTGAAAATTCTATTATAAAACTAGAACTATACTACTCTTATTAGGGATTTCTAAATTCTATCTTCTTTAAAAAACTAAATAATCTTGTTTTTCTCCAATCAAACTTCTATCAATTTCTTTATTAGAAAGTTTCAGGTAATTCAAAGCTTCACCTGAATGCAAATAATTTAAGCATTTTTAAAGTGTTACCACGTAACTCTGAACTATTAAAAGGAAAAACAGCCAAGACAGATAAAGATATAATGAACAGTAGGTGAATTATAAAGTTTGTCACTCACCAAATAATGTCAATTTCAGAATTCTACTACACTGGATTGCAAAGGAAAGGTCAGAACTATCAAAAATTGTTATAAGATCTCCATCTGAAATTAAAAAAGAAAAATAAATTCAGATTTGCAATTGCAGTAAACTAAGGCATATGAAAATTTTAAACCAAAATGTACATCACAGACCAAAATTAAAATCTTCCATAAAAATCTTGAAGCACCATCTAAGAAAGATTTGTTAAAATTATTGAACCATTTTGCTTACTACTCTTCTAAGTATTTACCATATCCTCATGAGAAAGTGAACCAAAGTTAATGAATCATGCACATTAACTTTTACTCCTCACTAGTTGTGTAACAATATCACCGATTAGACTGAAATCTTTCCAATTGAAAGCATTTAAACACATTTATCAAATATAAAAATAACAAGGCTTCCCAAGGTTCAAATCTTAATTCTTAATAAAATACACTGACACAAATAGAAGGGGAAATCATATAGAACAATAATCTAAGAGTTTACAGAATTGCTTTAATGAATAAACAGAGTAGAGGAGTCTTTTAAATCATTGACCAGGTTGATACCAAGACGCAACTAGAATTTTCTTATGTAAATATATATAAAATAGACTATACTGAAGACCAAGATCCCATAAGGGTGCCAAAGATAAATCATACTATAATTAACATGCTTCATAACTTTCAAAAGGCTGCGGGGGGGACGACAACAGGGATATGTTTTCCAGAAAGAAAGCAAGAAGAGAAAAGCAGCTACAGGAGTCAGTCAAGGTCTCTTCAGATAGGGGGGAGTTTTATCCAAGAGAGCTCTACTGTACTGACTTTAAATGTCATCAGGCATATTTATTTTAAACAAAGATGTCAAACACAGGTATGAGAGGGCACTTTACAATTGCTTTTAGATCTTTATAACCAGACCCACTTCCTCTACCACACATGTCTAATGTTCAGTTTTCAGGGATTCCACTCATAAACATACTTTCAAGAAAACAGTATACAGGCAAAAAGAATGAAGCTTTCCATAATCTGTCTTTTTCTTTCCTTGAGTCCCACATCAATGCACATGCTGATATATAGGAACATTACTTGAGCAAACTGTCCTTCTACTCTAGTGACCAACACAGACCATGGAACAAAAATCTGAATAATTAAAAATATTTTTTACAAACCACACACACATACACACACACAGAATTACAAAGTGGAAACTGGAGAGAAGACAAATTTTAATAAGGAGGCTACTCAAAGTACAACTATAAAATGCCAATAGACCCATTCCTAATTCAGTAGAACTATGAACTAAGAACGGCTTTTACATTTTTAAGAAAGCAGGAAGACAGAAGCTTTGTATATGATACACAAATCTAAAATGCTTTTTATATGCTCCTTCATAGAAATATTTTGCTGATCCTTCTCCTAAATGAGAATAAGGGAGAAAAGAGAAAGCCAGTCAGTGAGGTCAGTTTAAGATACACTGTGTTTGAGGCAAGAGCAGAATATCTCAAGTTAAAAGACTTAAAATTTTGAGTTCAGGTGTTGTGTAGCTTAGTGGTAAAGTACTTGTAGCAATCAGGAGAACTTGGATTTAGTCACTAGTCCAGTGAAAAAAGTGACAAAATTTGAAAAAAAAAAAAAAAGGGTTGTAAATTCAAGAAATAGAATAAACCAGTAAACTAAGGAATGCATTTGAAAGTAATAGTTTGTGAAACTATATTATAAACAGATGAGCTTTCCAGCAGAAAGAGTAGGAAGAACACAAGGGACTCTCAAATATTAGTTTTGGGTGCTCATGGATATATCACAGAAAAGAATTACAGAGGTAGATAGATGGTAGCTTAGCTCATCAGTTGATGTATTTTCCCTTTATGCAGCCTAAGTTATACAAAATGGCTGCTGAGACATTTGCATCTTAGCAAAGTCATGTGACTAGGTTCTGATTAATGTAATATGGGTAGAACTAATATACCTTCTCTCAAATCCTAGCAAGTACAATCTTATCTCTTAGTCTACCTGAATGCTGGATGTTAACGCTCAAAGTGAGTCAGAAACATAGTTTCTGTCAGCATGAGTCAGGAAATGATTTTCTGAATGTTGAATCAGTGAGACTGTAAGATTTCTATTATAATAACTGTCATGTCTTAAGGCCATTCTTCACAGAGAAGCAGCTATTAGTGATACAAAGAAAATTTGGTCAAGCACAGTGCTAGAAATATTCAGAAATAACAGTATTCCACAAAGGACAGTATGGATAGCAAAGCTAAATGCTAAGCTCAAGATGAAATAGACTGCAGATATTCTAATAGTAAAAAAGATACTGGTAAACACCAAAGAAGCAATTTTTAATAGCAATGTTAACAAAGAGGCCTGGTTAAAGAAAAGAAACAAGGGCTGAAGAGATGGTTCAGCAGATAAAAGCACTGGTTGCTCTTTCAGAGGACCAGGTTCCATTTCCAGCACCCAAATGATGGCTAACAACTATCCCTAACTCCAGTTCCAGGGAATCTGATGCCCTCTTCTGACCTCTGTGGGCACTGTATGACATAGGTGCACTTATATACATTGAGGTAATACACTCATACACATAAAATAAAAATATTTTTTTAAAAAGAATAGGTCTAGTGGTGGCACACACTTGACCAGCACTTGGGAGGCAGAGGCAGGTGGATCTTTGTGAGTTCGAGGCCAGCCTGGTCTACATAGTGAGTTCCAGGACAGCTGGGGCTACAAGGAGACTCTGTCTCAAAAAAACAAAAAAAAAAAAAGAATAGGTCTACTGTTTGATGATATAATATTTGTCAAGCACCATCTATCTCTATAAAAATAGTTCTGTGGTCAAATGAGTCTTGGAGTATTGCATACAATAAACTGACAATGTATCATTAGCATAATGCACAATCTGAAAACTCCTGCAACAAAGAAACACATCTGGCCAGGCAGAGTAGATTATACCTGCACTCCAAACACTTGAGGTGTTGAGGCAAGAGGATCACAAGGTCCAAACCAGTCAAAATAATAAACATATCTGTCTTTGCTTAAGCTAAATTTCTCATATTTAGAGAACAGAGAAATCCTTTTTCATTCAATACATACTAAGAATCCCTTTCCCTTGGGGAAATACAAATGAAACATGGGCAGAAGAAAAAAAAAAAAAAGACTTGCAAAAATGCGCATGAAAATGAAAATGTCTGACACTTAAAAGTCCCTTCTAGTAAATCACATTTTAACTTACAAAGGAGCTACATAAACTGTACCAATCTTATTAAATAAAAGAAAGTGGCCACTCAAGGCTGGGAAGGGGGAAGACAATCCAATGAAAAATGGGTAAAAGAACATATATAATGCTTAGACCTTAAAAACTAGCTTAACAAAATCCTTACCTTCATCTTTATACTTTATTGTAACTTCATCATTACTCAGAAGTTTTCCTCTGAAAACTCGCTGCATCATTAGCACTAATTCATCATAAGTAATATCTTCATTATGAATGGGAATTCGTCGAATATCCTCCCCAAGTTGAGCTTTGATAATTAGCTTCCCACTTAGGTCCAACTGTCCATTCATGGTGGACTCCAGGGTGGTCTATGTATACAAGTCTAAAAGGAAAAACTGATGAAAATAGTTTTGATGATTAAATAACAAAATACATTAAAAGTTTAGAGCAGAGCTATTAGAATTTTAAATTATGCTCTTTAAGAGATTCCTTGTCTCAGCATTAGTAGATCTTATAAATGGTCTAGAAGAAACTTTATTACAACTATATGTTCTATATTTGTCATGACCCAAAACTTATGTCTACTACTGTTTTACCCACATACATAACTGCTTATCATTTGTCTAAAAACAAATTCCTGATCTTCTACCCCAAAGTTGCCTGCCCTAAAGTTTTCCCATCTTTAGTGGCAACTCTTTCTCAAGACATAACTTGGCTCTTCCTTTTTCTCACACCTTTCATTCAAAGTGCCAACAAATCTGGTTATCACTTTAAAATTATCTTGGGAATCCAACCAATTCAGTAACTTCACTGCTATCAACTTAATCCAATTCAACATATTTGAATTAATGCAAAACAGCAAAACAGAAATGGTCTGCCTATTTACCTTTGTCCACTTTCACTATTTTCAACAAAGCAAAGTTTTCTTCTTAAATAAAATCTAATCTTACTATGCTTAGAACCTTCCAATGGATTCCCACTGAAAAGGAAAAACTTGTCATGACCCAGCCTCTGGCCTAGTTCTTAACCACATTTCCTACTTCTTTCCCTTATTCACCCCTGCAACACCAATGCTTGGCGTTCTCCTTCCCAACTCAAGGCTTTGTGTTTGATGGGCCTTTGGCCTTGGACTCTTTTTACACCCTCACATAATCTAGATCTCTAATTAAACGTTATTTTTTCAGGATTTCCCCTAAAAATCTAATTTAAAATGGCTCGACATCACTATGGTGTCAACCTGCTTAACTTTCCTTCAAAGCACTCAACACTACTAGACATTAAAATTTTATTGTTTACTGTCCTCCCCACTAAGAGGTAGGACTTGCTGTCTTCCCAGGAACTAGAAGACTGCCTTGCACATGACAGTTATTCAGAGATAATGGCTACAAAGTTTAACCTGTAACTAATGCTAACCTGGAAGAAGGTAGTATGAACATGAAAACAGAACCCTTATTATTCTCCAAAATAAGATCTCAAGAGTATTATTTTTATAACTTCCAATTTGGGGAACTTGAAGAAAGGACAAATCAGTGATATTCTCCTGAACTTTCTCACAAGACTATCTACCATCAAGCTACATAATTCCATTATTCTGCCTATTCACATTAGCCCCAATCAGAGTACGTATTCAAAAAAGAAAAGTTGAATGTGTAGGGCAGGCGTGTATTCCCAGTACTTGGGAGGTGCAGGCAGGAGGATCAGGAGCTTAAGGTCAGCCTCAGCTACAAAGCAGGTCAAGATCAACCTGGGCTACAAGAGACCCTATTTCAAAAAGTAAAAAGGGCTAGAGATATATATATATAGCTCAGTGGTAGAATGCTTGTTTAGTATGCACAAGACATAGGTTTCAGTACTTGGTACAAGTAATAACATAACAAAAGAAAAAGAAGTAGACACTTAATACTAGTTTGCTGCAGAATTTTTCCTTCTTGGGTTTTATTTTCATGTTATTTAAGGTTCCTCAGTGTGGTCACTCCATGTCTTTCTAATCTTGAATTCTAAATATTATCTAAGGTCTCTAATAATTTAAATAATTGCTGTATAGTAACAAAGGGGCTATTTAGGGTCAAATAAATTCATCTCTTCTCTAGGCCAAGAAAATCCTGAATGTGTTAACCTAAGGACACAGATGACATTATTATCAATGTGTTTTAAGCAAATGATCACTCAGAGCCCGTTAAATTGTCCTAAGACCTCCTACTAGCCATTTTGATTTCAACTTTGAACTTTCACTGGCAGCCTGTTTCCTTTTCTAAGATTTATTTACTCTCTATCATCACATTTCTTTGCAATTATTCATTTTATGAATTCTAATTTGTCATGAATATTAGATGTAAATGTTCCTTATAAAAGCCCCAGTCCTTCCATCTAACTATTCCTTAAACAAATACACACTCTTCACCATCCGCTGGCCAGATGACATTTTTGAGTAAGTCTTTAATAAAATGGGGTATTAAAACTAAGCATAAACTATAAGGTCAATGCAGAACAAAGTGAACTATGGTCCATAATCTGGATGCCATGCTTATCTCAATGAAAATCAGGGGCAGTTTTGATCTACCAATCTCATAATGGGCTTTTCATAAAGAACTGAAACCTCTACACACCAATTCTTTATCTGTTGGCCAAATTGGTCCTCTTCATTCAAGAAACATTTACAGAATACCTACTATATGTCAGGCTCTTAAGTATAATAACTTCAACAAGATGGCAAATAGTCCACGTTTTTACTGGCAGCCTGACAGGAAAGAAGATCTTTCAATAAATCACTGAGTTTGCGGCCTTCTATTTACAGGCTGTATAAGCCAAAAATATATAGATTAAGGATCAGTGTTTAAGTTTCAGTAAGATGTTATTATCTATTTCTACCAGCTGCTAAAATATTATCTGGCATACAGAAGGTATTTAAAGAATTTTTTGTTTCCTGCACAAGGAAGCACTGAGCAACAAGAAAGCTCTCACAAAAGCACCAGAAGCTGGAACATCAAGTCAGGTCTTAAGTTAAACCATCTCACAGTACCTTCTTTATGTGGCCGGAAGGACACCTCATGTTAAACAGACTCCTAATTAAGACAAAGTTCCAAAATCAATTATACTTGATGATATGCCCTTTAATGGGACTGGGAAGCACTCAGCTCCAACACATCTAAAGACTAAAGTTACATATTCATTATTTCTGTCATGGATGGTCCAAATTCACTTCTAGTGTTTCCTACTGACTAAATTTCTTGCAGTTTTTGCTTAAGGCTGTCCCTCATTTGTGTAGTGTTCTCAGGACAAATACACAATTGAGATTATTTTCCCTTCCAAGGGAGCATCCCATCCCCACAGCTCTAAATTCTAGTCCTCCTTTTTATCAAGATAGAGATTAATATGAATTAGTTCCTATGGCTGCTGGTGAGATCTCTAGTATTTTCCCTCCTATCTTGTCCTCTGAAGTCTGAAAGTGACTCAACCACTAACTTGCCCTCCTGGCAAGAACAAGTTTTCTGAGTACTGGATAAACTGACATGACCAAGGACACAGAAAGCCTACCCCCTACACTAGGGTCTAAGTTCAGTAGTCATACTTCTGGCTCCAAGGGTGTGGTGGCACACACATTTAATCCCAGCACTCAAGAGGTAGAGGCAGGTGGATCTCTATGAGGACAGTCAGGTCTACATAGCCAGCTTCAGGCCAGTTGGAGCTACAGGGAAACCCTGTGCCAAAACAAAAACAAAATCAAAACAAAACAAAAAAAACCCCGTGGCTCCACTTTCTCTGAGTGTAAGGCCCTAATCAAATTCAGAGGTAACTTCTAAGGCACCTTCTGAAAGTAGTTTCAAGAAATCCTAAAGCAAATAAGGCCTTGACTATTCCAAAACAAGAGGCCTCAAATCTGTCTGACCAAAAGCACTGAAGGAAGACGGTAAAGATTTTCACTAGTAGCTATGTGAGCTGAAGTTCTCCGACATGTCTCATGACATGCAAAATGACAATAACTAAATTTGTATTTTCCTTGCGATGAATACTCAAGCTGATGTATCTGTAATTCTTCATACAGTACCCAGAAAAACAAAACTTTAAAGTTAGCCACCCTCATCACTGTAAGACTGGGTTGGGCCTCCAGACAACATTCGATTAAGCATGACATAGTCCAACATCGAGGTTCCTTTTTTGTGACCCCCCCTCCAATCAATGCACTCCCTCGAGCGCCACCACACCTTCAAAGCCGCTCAGGGGGCTGGGCACGAACACTCCAGCCTTTCTCAATCTCCGGTAATTCAATCTTTGGAACTAGAGACAAGGAATAGGGTACATGCAAGACCAAACGTCCCCAGGCAGGCAGCCAGCCTCCCAGCCCGGGACCCACACCCTCTACCAACGTCCCCCCTCCGCAGGCCTGCCCCTCTCTCCTCTACCCAAAGCCCCAGTCCACCGCCCCAGCCCCATCCTCCCTGGCTTCCTGGTCCCCCGGCCTTCTCGAGGGCGGCCGCGCGCTGGGCCTCTGGCCGTACCCTCTGGCCGAGGCCGCCCGTCTTCGCCGGGCTCTGCTGACCCAGCCGCTGGGAGGCCGCTGGGCTCCGGTCTTTCGCAGGGAGGTCCCGGTCACCGTTCGTCGGCTGTCCTCTACTGCCTCTTCGCCGAGCTCGCAGGTTTTATCGTTCACACCCAACAACCCTAGCGAGAGCCGCGGTCCGGTACGTGGCGGTGGGAAGAACAGGGGCGGGAGCAAAGAAGAGAAATCCGTCCTTTCGCCCCGCCTCAAGGCGAGCGGACCAGCCCAGGACGCATGCGCGCCACAGTGAGGCGAGGGGCCGGCAGAGAAACAGCGCGACTGGCGAGTGGCTGGGCTTCCTCACTGGATGACCAGGACTCGGAAGTGCGAGCTGGAACCGGGCGCGCATGCGCAGCGGCTCCCCAGGAACTTCCGGTTTTCCTGAAAGCGAGTGTTTCCGGTCTTGAGGCCGTGGGCGGGCCGTAGTCAGGTGTCTGAGGGAGGGTGAAGAGTGCATCTATTCTTGGTGGGGTTGGTTTGGACTGTTGACTGGAGGCTCTTGGAATTTGGCGAGTCCATCCTTGCCCCTTTTCCCGCCTTCTTTCTATATCCATGCGTCCATCCATTCATTCATTCATATTATTGGACGCCTACACTTTGCCAGTACTGCTAGGAATGGCGATGAGTCAGTTTGTGAGGGAGGAGTTGCCCATGCAGTTAGGAAGGCCCGCAGCGTTCCTGAGACTGGACGGCGTGTGCGGAGTAAAAGGATTGTAGAAGGCTCTTGGAGGATAAAGATTTGAGCATACGCCTAAGTTCATTTTTATATTTTGCCTATTTATGTGAGACGTGTCCAGCATGCTCAGGCTGAACCCTGAATTTTGGCGAGGTGGTTAATTACGTGCACGTAGGGGAGGCTGCACTGTATAAGTTCTAAGTAGCTTTTGTCTTAAAGGGGCTAAGTAGCCACGGCTTTTCAACCTGTCTGCAGTTATTTACCGGACATTCCTAGAGAGCTGGGTTAAAGTAAATTTAGGAGTTGGTAACAGTGCTCAAAGGGGACTTTAGCGCCTCCTGAAGGAAGCTGTTTTTAAAGACAAGATGCTCATTACTTAAGTAGGAAAATGCTTTGTTAAGAAAAATTTCAGCCCACCTTTAGCTTTTAGACCTGGTATAAAATTTAGAGTTTGCCTTGTCTTCCTTATCTATTTTCAAAGACAGAGCCTCATGCTATTGTCTCAAGTCACGGCAACTTGTAACTAAGGACCCAAACTGTCAATCTAGAATACTTCCCTGCTCTGTGGTTACCTCCTGAGTACTGGGCCAAAAACAGTCATCTTCTTGTATTATCACAAAAGCCTAGAAAGTCTCAATTATTATATCATGGTTTCATAGCAACTTAGATCAAAGTCCGACAAATTATAAGGGTCATACTTTACATGTACAAAATTCCACTTGAAGAGCAACACAGATAATAGCTGTGTTACAGGTCCCTGGAAAATAGCTTGTAAGAGATAGGAGCATTGGCTCATGCCTCCGCTCTGCTGTCCTTCTGCTCCCTCCTACTCTTCTTTTTCCTCCTCCAATTTAAAGAGAAAATACCAATGGCGTTTTCAGAAACACTATCTACATACTACAAATGATTTATAACTGTTTCCACCTTCTGAAATAATTAACATATCAGAGCTTTAAAAATTAAGCTTTTACATACTTTTACATACTGCTGTTGGCCTTGTAAAATGATTCAACCACCTTGGAAAACGGGTTGGCAATTTCAATAAAAGTACATACACAATTACTCTATTGTAATTTCGTGAGATATTTTAAGAGAAAAGAAAATATCAAAACAAACACTTGTTCAAGAATGGTATACATTTTATTCATAATGTCAAAATTAGATAAACAGTTTTATTTTTACATTAAGGAGCAAACCCACAATTTCTTAAAAAGATAGGAATTTCAGTGAATTAAATTGGCAGTAGTGGCATATTTGGATGGGGAAGAAAGCTAATGGGAAGAGTTGCTACCTGGCTGCTATGTTTGGTAGTTGAGTGTGTCCCCAAATATTCATTACCTGGAAGCTCAATCTTTAGCTTGGTAATGTGGGGGAGTACTGGGACTTTTAAGAAGCAAGCCCTAGTAGGAGGTCTATGGGGTCATTTGGGAAACTGTCCTCAGAAGGGGAATCTTCTTGGAATTCCGAGCCCTGGAAAGATGGAGTTAAGAGTGATCCCAGCCCCCAAATTGCTAAAGAAATGATAATACATTCCAATACATTTATCCAAGTCCTGAGAATTTATCTTAAGGAAATAATTAAAAAGAGGGAAAAACTACCAGTTTCTTTATTGCTTTCCTTACAGTGTTAAATATTGAAATGATCTAAATAGAAGAAAATTAGCAAATTATGTTATATGCAATTATTATGAGGACTGCAAATAGTAAAAATAATATAATTTAATTTGCTGTTAGAGTTATGTAAAAATCTTGAGTATTCAAAGACTATAGGAGAACATGGAAAAGTAGATGATAGTGGTGAGTTAGGGAATCGTGAATTTTGCGTTTATAAAAATGATTTGTGAGGATTATTATTCAATGGCTTATTAAAGTATAATGGACAAATAGAAATTATATATTTAATCTATACAAAAGATACTTTGATATATGATTATCACAATCAGGTTCATATATCCATCTCCTCTCCTTTGGATTTGTTTGTATGTGAGTGCATACACATGATAAAAAACACTTTGAGATCTGCCCTCAGAGAATTTCAATAATACAATACACTATTATTTACTATAGTGGCCATGGTCATGCTGCTGTATATTAGAGCTCTAGAATTCATTCATCTTGTAGCTGAAAGTGTGTATCCTTTGACAATGAAAAATGCACTCCTCCCCCAATTTACCTCCCAACTTCTGATAATAGTATTCTACTCTATCACTCTGTGTTAAACTATATTTTAGAATCCACATTGAAATGAGATCATGTGCAATACTTCCATGTCTGGCTTATTCCACTCAATATGTTCTCTAGAATAATCTGCATCACTACAGTGCCTCTTTCTTTTCTAAGGCTGAATTATCTTACATTCTATGTACAATATATGAAATCACAACTTATGATGGTTTAGCTTGAATTTCTGTTTATGATGGTGGAAAAGATATGTGCATCCAGTAAAAATTATGCCTCAAATCAGAATTTTTATCTTTTCCTGGGCTAGTAATATGTGATATGGTAATCTCAAAATGTTGGGTATCAGCAGCAACCCAACAATTCCCAGTCAGTCACATAGTCATGAGAGTAAAGAAATGATACTGTACAGTGTATCATACAGTATTCAACAGATTACATTGATACTTTACACCTTAAGATAAAATGAGCTTTGTATAGATGATTTTGTCCAACTGTCAGTGAATGTAAGTATTGTGATCATGTTCAAAGTAGGCTAAACTATATAGTAGGCTAAACTATATATAAACTATATAAACATCATTTGTATATAGCACAACTTTTTAACCATTCATACAAAAACTGGCACATACCTTTACTATAGTGAATAATGCCACCTAAACATGGGAGTATAGATATCTTCATGAAGTGTCAATTTCATTTCCTTTAGGGTATGTGCCAAGCAGAAGGACTGCTGTGTTTTATGTTAGTTATTTTTTTGGACAGGTTCTCCCTATAGCCTGGAACTTGCTATGTAGACCAAGCTGGCCTCTATCTACCAGACATCTGCCTGCCTCTGCCTCCAAATATCTGGGATTAAAGGTATGCACCACCACACATGACCCCTGTTTTTTAATTTTTGATGGACATCCATACTGTTTTCAGTCATGACTGGGCCAAGCTACACTCCCACCTACAGTGGATTTAAGTTCCTTTGACCACATCCTGGCCAATACTTGTTATCTTTTAGAGCTCTTTTTGTAATAGCCATTTTACCAGATGTGTAGTGAGACTTCATTGTGGTTTTGATTTCTATTTCACTAGTTTTTTCATATACTAGCTATTTCTTAAATCATCTTTAGCAAAATGTCTATTTAGGTCTTTTGTTCATCTGCTAATCAGATTATTTGGTCTGTTCATTTGCTCTTATAATTCATTTGTACATGAATATCTTTTAAAATTGAAATTGTTATATCACTTGACTGTCTATCCCCCAGCAGCCCATCCTGTAGCAACTCCTTCATCGTGGTGAGTATGTTAGGCCTCATCTTTGGAACCAGGAATTGAAAGGTATATGGTTACATTAATGAGGTTCCACAGAAACATCGATTTCTAGGGGTTGATAAATTGATGTAATCCAGCTAGTACTTTTGACTCAGATTTCTTAAATGTTTACAAAGCATGCAAGCTCTTCAGATGAAGCAATGGCAAACTAGAAGCAATAGGCTTGAGAATGATTTCCATTTGGTAGTTACAGGAAAGAAAAAAAGAAGCAAACTAAATGTAAAGATGGAAGAGATAAGAGAAAAAGCAATCCAGATTGGCAATTGAACAGTGAACTTTCAGCTGTCAGTTGAGACGCAGGAAAGCAAATCCAAAGGTCAGGATGACTTGTTCCTCATGATGCGGCAGGTTTAACCAAAAGGCAAGGAGGGACTGTTATCTCACAAAGTAGTTAACCAGAAAGCATGGAAGCTAGGAGTTGTTCATGCTCAGTATCATGATTACCAGTTCTGATGTGCCCTGAGGCTTTCCTGAAAAATTTATTGTCTAAGTAAGTCACATTTCTATTCCTCTGTTTACTCAGTTACCCTGTTCTCATTATGGACAACCCCATTTAAACACAGCTCATGCAAAGCAAATGATTTACAAGTCTTAGACTGGTTCATTTCCCAGCTAATTGTATTTTGTTAGAAGATGTAGTAAGCCTTCCTTAAAATTTTGCTGCGAGCATTGCTTTCTTGGTATAAATGCCTACTCTTCATGGTTTCCAATCAATCAAACCATCCCTCACCTCTCCTTTCACAGTAGGTACTTGACCCAGACAAGATACATCCCCAAACACAATGCATGTGTCATATATAGGATATACCATTTTGGGGGCCTATTTGTCCTCTGGTCCCTTTCTCTCTGTCTATTGTACCCTCTCACAGAGAGCCCCCTAAGCTTCATAGACTGCTGCCTCTGTTGGGGTTTTGCTGATTGCATCCAGTGGAAGACATGCTGGGAGACTTTAGGGAAGGAGGAAGTAGTAGCCAAAGTTCTTTACCCTCTTTTGCTAGTGAGAGCAGGTTGTCTCTTTCTTCAGCATACTTCATTTTATTCTGAGCTTTTATGCACTGTGAAACTGTCCACCTTAGATTTCTTCTTTTTAAAACACCTACTCTACTTTCTGCTTCTGCTGGAACAGTTAGAATTTAAGTCCAATGAGCTTTGATTTGTGGTTGCCGAGAAAAAAAGAAATCTCTCTCCTAGGTGCTTTAGCCAGAGTTGAGAATAATGACGTACAGAAGCACACAGAGCAAGGAACTGGGAGAATAATCCTGACACACCACTACTCCTTGTTCTAACTGCAGATAGAATCAACATTGCCATGTGTTTATTTCATGTGTCAAACCAGGGCACTTGAAATTTAAAAGGGGTGTTGGCAATACTTAAAGTCAGGACACAGATAGAAAATGGGATTGGAGCAGGCAAAGTGCAGCATTCACATCTGAAATCAACCTGGTCCTTGGACTTTACATTAATCAAGCCAGTAAAATCCCTTTAACCTAATTTGAGTTAGATTTCTATCACTGAGCTCAAAAGACTGCTGACTAGTGCCCCAGATAAAGGTTCAAACCAAAGGAATTATTTTCTGTTGATAGGGTGTCAAGATCTCCTTGTTTTTGTAAATTAGCCTCCACACTTGAATGTGGAGCTTACATATTTAAAGTACCACTATTTCTGGAACATTGTATGGAATTTTAGTTGGTATACGCCAAAGATGCTGAAAAAGCAAAGAAAACATTAATCATCAAAGGAAGCATAGAAGCTCCATTATCAGGCTGATAATGCTCTTTGCTGTCTTTTTTCATATTTTAAGTGGCCTTAAGGAATTTTCATCTGGATAGAAATTTTCAGTCAACCACATTCTAATACTGGCCCTGTCTCCAGCCCAAATCTAAGTATAGCACTATAACACTGGCACCAGACTTTCAAAACTGCCTTTCTCCTGTACTCTATTTACCTTTTCTACTTTCCCATAAGGTCTCATTTTTGCTAAAGGTTAAATAAACTTGGCTTGGCTTGCTTGGGATTCCAATGGCCATTTATTTCTGTTTGTTAGAATAAACAATCTTACAGGGTGAGAAAGATATTTGAAACCCACATGACATTTGTTCCTTAGTTCATATACTCACAGCATCTTTTTAGTTTATGGCAAAAGAGAAAGTAGCAGTGCAAGGACTGCATCTCCTAAGTCCAGGGGGAGTGTGCCCCACTACAGTGAAGTGATTTTTCTATTTAGGAAGCCCTTCATAATTCCCAGGTTTGAGTTCTGTGAGCAGCTATATGTTTATAAAAGCCATAAGCTGTGATTATGACTGACTTTTTTCATTTCTTGAGTCTCAGTGTCACTTCAATAAAAAAAATGGATACGTTAAAAACTAGATGGAACTATCCGGAGGCTTTTAGCAACCAACTAATACACCTCACTGCACATTTCTTACAGAGATGATTACTCTAGTCACAAAGCATTTTTAACAGAAAAAAATATTTCCAGACGTTAAATTGGTACCAAATTTTTCATTGGAATATGCATATACAGATTTAAAAATATTCAGAGATCACAGTATGATATATGCAAGTCACTCCTATACTTATTGGAAGTTATTTTGTTGTACAAAGTATTTTCTCATGTTATTTTCAGTAATTTGGAAAGGAATTTGTTTCCAGATCTGCATTATTTTCAGAGTGTACCATTTTGACTTAATGATGTGAGGAGCAATGATCATCTTGAATGTTCTGCAGAATTCTTCATTTCATTCTCGTAATAGTCTGTTGAACAACCACAGAAACTACCAAATCCATTATCCCCATGATAATAACAACAAGGTTTTCTTAATTCTTATCCATGCTTAAAAAGTGTAATTAGGAAGACATTCTAGGAGAATCAGAAAAAAATAAACAGGTAAAATTCACATGAGTAATAGTTTATGTACTTGAGTGAGTTTGGTCACTTTCAAGAGAGTGAGGTTTCCTCCGTCATTGTGGAAGGCTCTAGCAGCCTAAAGCGTTCATTTAGGGATGGTATGGACCTGAGCATATTATACATCCTTACACGCAGTCTCAGCGGCATTGAAGGCACTGACTTCACTCTTCCAAAGGATGTTGACAGGGAGTTCATCATTTTGGAAGCTTCACTCTGAAATACTTTTGTTTTAACGGTGTAGAGGATAAAAATTTGCAATCCCTGAAGACAGAATTAAGGTTTAACATTAGGTAAGTGCTGTAGTGCAGAATGAAGAGATTTTGTTTTGCCCCCCCCCGCCCATCTGAGGTATAGCTGCTTCCCAACTACAGTTTGCTGCAGCCATGCCTATCCTTCCCATACACAAAGTGTTGCATGTAATGTAAATTTAGAAGACCAGAGTTCATGTCCTGGCTTGCCACTTGCTAGCTATGAAAGTTTGACCTTTTCCTAATCTTTATGATCTTCAGTTTCCTGAAGGGAGAAGATCAAATATGGAATGCCCAATTTTTCCAGTTCTAACATTTTGTGATTCCATATTTCTTAGAGATTATGTACATAGCTGGAAATTTATGCATTCAAGAATAGCAACAACAGAAACTTAAGTCCTGCTAGTCACTTATCTGAACTGTATATATGAAGATGAGGTGTTCATAAGGACTTGTGCCACAAAAGCTGAGTAATATTTTCTGCATATTTTAAATTAAAACTGTCATTTATTAGAGTCCTATTGATATCAGATCTTTTCTTATTTAATCCTCATTATTCCATCCCATTTAATTCTGACATAAATCCTATAAAGTAAGCAATTTGCCCAAGATTTCCTACCCAGTAGTCAGTAAAGCTTAGAACTAAATTATGTTTTGGTAATATATCTGATATTTGATGCTGTCTCTTGCTTGTAACTGTAACAGAAAGGCACTATACAGTATAAATTCTAAGAAGTCTTTCTTAATTCTTCATTAGCATCCTTTGTGAAACCAAAAGATTGAATATCATTTGTAAGGACTGGAAAGTTGGCTGAGTGGTTAAATGCACTGGCTGCTTTTGCAGAGGACCAGGAGTTCCCAGAACCCACATGGTGGCTAACAACCTTAACTCCAGTTCCAGGAGTCCGACGCCCTCTTTTGACCTCTGTGGATACTGCATGAGATGGGTGCATTTACATACATTCAGGCAATATACCATACACATAAAATTAAAATATTTTTAAAAATTAGTTGAGTTGATAATATTGTACCAATGTCAATTTCTTGATATTGACAATATACTCTAATTATACAAGTTATTGTTTTGGGGGGAAACTGGTCAAAGAATACATGAAAAATATACTGTTTTCCTGGGTTTGACTATGCATTATGATTATATACAATATAATTGTAAAGTTTGGGAACTCTGTAGTACTTTGCAACTTCTAATAGGTCTAAAATTATTTTGGAATTATTGTTAAAAGAAGTGGCCTAAGAACAGATGAAAAGTAAAATAATTATTTTGCCTCATCTCAGGCTATTTCCTACAATTTCAGTAACTATAGAATTCCAATGGAAAAAAAAGATTATTGTTAAGAATTAGATGTCAAGCTAAATTTTAGATCATGTGCTATTATTAAAGAAAAATTACCAAGTAGGAAACTCTTCATTAATATTCATTATCTACTAAGTACTAAAAATACTACCATTAATAAACTGGTGAGCTATTGCTTAAAATAAAGAAGTAAAAATAGCAGGACATTCCAATGTAAGACTTAGCAAAAAAAAAAAAAAAAAAACCAAAAAACACAAATCTTTAAAATGGAGCATTAAGTACAAAAAAATTTCGTTAACACACTTATCAAACATAATTTAAGTGTCATAAATATTTCTTGAAAGAAACTAATATAGGCAGCATAATTTAACAATGTTAATTACACAATGTTTTTTAATTATAGCCATAAAACTAGGAGACGAGAAGCAATTGAACAGTATTAATATGATTTAATCAAATGTAGTACAGTGGCCGCTTGTTTGCCTAGCACATATGAAGTCCTAGTTTGATTCCAAAACTATAAAATATTTATGTACATAAATACATACAAAATTTTAAAAGGGGAGTGGGAAATCAACACATACTACTTTACTCTGGAAACTGAAAACAGTTTATTACAGTAATCACTAAAATCAAGGATGGTAATTAATAGAAATTAAAATATATTGAAAATGCATGTGTATGGAGGTCAGAGGCCAACTTGCAGAAGTTCACTCCTTTACCATGTGGGTTCCTGAGATCAAATTCAGGCCCTTGGGCTTGGTGACAAGTGCCTTTTACATGCTGAACCATCTCATTGGCCCATTTCCTTTCCTTCTTTTTGAGACAGTTTCTCATTATGTAACCTAGACTGTTCTCAAACTCAAGATCCTCCTGCCCTCAGCCTCCCAAGTGTTGAGACTAAGGACATGTGCCACTACATCTAACTAGTTTTCTTAACTGGTATTTTATTAAATAGCTTGAAGCTGTTTTTCTTTTTTTAATGAAGAAAATCATCAAGAAAAATCAAAATTTGTGGGCTCAAAAGAGTTAAGTAAAAAACAAAGTGATCAGAAAGACGA